AGTTCTAGCTGCACTTTTGCCTTTCTAATTTTGTCGCTGCTTGACCTAACGAGATCCTTGTACTCTTCTCTCATGTTCCTCCCTCTTCACTCCCCAGTAAAACCTGTTTAGAGATGAGCATCTAGCTTGGATTTGCACTGTGCCCTCCCAGTGTGAAACAGTCCCAGATTCATTGCCATGTTGGGTTGAAGGGGAAAAGCTGTGAGCTTTCCCAGATAACCCCTGAAAAAAAAAAGTGGGGTTCACATGTGCCATGACAGTGCTGCTGGCTTTACTCTTTCTTTATGGGCTCTCCAAGTTATGCTGTGTGGCTGCGACTGTCAGCACCCCTGCTCTCCCAAATGTACTTGTCCTAGGGCAGACTTTTTCATCTCCTACACCTTAGGTATCTATGTGTGGGGTTTTTTTTAAATCACAGGCCTGGAGGAGAGGGAAGGAGGCAGGTGACAGAAGACAGAACATTTTCTGTATTAGAAGTAGGCATAGACGGGCTGTGCAGCTTTCTGATCTTTAGTCCGCTGTCAAAACTAAGTGATGGTAGGTCATTCTCACTCAAGCCTTGGGAATCTTGGCTCATTGATGTTTTGTAAGCTCTTAGGCTAAAGACTATAAGTAAGTAAGTTCTGCTATGTGTGGGCACAAAGCTTGTGGGATAGCTTTCATGCTACCAAGCTGTAGTACAGTGGGGATGTGAATGGTTTGCAACAAATAGCTTTCGATTCTGAAAGAGATCCTTGCAATAACTGTCTATGCAGATGCAAGCAATTTGGCAGCAATTGTTCCAAACCAGTGGTTTGTTTCAGAAACCAAAGCAAAAATTACAGAGTCAGTCCTCTCCTATGTTATTACATTGCCTTAAATTTACTTCCAGCAAAGGTATTTTTCTGCTGATGCAATGACACAGACTGCCTATTTGTCAGATTATTTTGTGATGCTTCTGTGATTCTGTGCTTGGGCCAACATGAGCTCTGTAAGACTCCCAGGAGTCAAAGGCAAAAAACAAACAGATTTAGCCTGGAGAAGCTTCTTGAGATGTTTTCAGAGGCAGATTAAAACAATTCTGGGCCAGTCTTCTGTCCATTGCTTCATTCTGTTCTGATGAGCTATATCATGATGAGCTTATTTTTGAGGTGGGTCTCCTCTTCCCTAGGTCCCACAGTTCTATTTCCTGTTACTTGCTGACTTTAATTCCTCATTTCAGGACGTTGATATGAAGAAGCTTGTATCACTCCCATCCATTTGCTCATTCCCAAGATTTGGTCTTCCTTTTGGAAGAACAGCTGGGAATGTTGTCATACACAGATTCTTAAGTTGAAAGGTTGTGGAATAACTGATGAAATGTATGTGGTTTTGTTTTGGGAAACGTCAGGGCTGTGGTTCAGCCCATGTCACAGCAGCGTCATGTGTTACGCTGTTGCTACCAGCTGGAAGTTCTCAGAAACACTGAGCTGATTCTTCCTGAGCACACTTTGTTCTTTCAACCCTTGATTTCAGATCTTTTTTAGATTTTTGGAGCCAGATCAAAGCAGTAGCACCAAGGCTCCCTCATTTGCATTTTTGTGTTACTACTTCTAAAATTCTTATTTATTGTTGTTCGCACCATTATATTCTAGTGCCTACCCTGCAGAGGGTTCCCTGCCAGGGTCAGGACCAGTGCTTTTGGGTTTGTACTCCTACACACGGGAGGATATGAGCACGGTTTCACTGCTTCAGAGTGCATTTGAGCACTCTGCTTGATGGCTGTTCCTCTGCTGATTCTCCATCAGAATATCTGCTGTGACGGTAAAGCATGTGTCAGAGTCTGATGACTCTTGCCTCCATTTCAGTGGGTGCCTTGGAGAAAAAAGGCTGCAAGTTTTGAATATGCAACACATTTAATATTCTGTTGGGATTGTTCACACTCAGCAAATCAGAAGATCTTACAGTTTCCCTTGAAATGAGGAATAAGAGCAATAATTCTCTTCTGAATTCTGTCTAATGCAAGTGGAGCAGGAACGATTTCTCTGAAGTGTATTGCAGTTGCAACATCAGCAGTTCGTCCAGCCCAGGGAGGATCCGCAGCTGGTACTGAGCTGCTCTGATGGCTCATGGCTCTTCACAGTCAGCCTTCCATGTCAGAGGAAATGAGGGGCCACCGCCCAATTTTTTTCTCTGTGTTCTAGCAAATTCCCAGATGTTGTGACCTGGATTTACCACATTCGTATTTTCAACACTATTCTGAGTGCTCTACTAGCTTGTAATATGGTCAGAGATGACTGTCTCAAATGTTGTCTACTCTACTTCCAAATTTTTATGTATTTTTAAATGAATGCGTATCTGTGATTCACCCTGAGTTGTGCTCATCTAGGGGAGTCACAGCAGCCTAACCTAACGGCATGAAATGTCTGCCAACTCTTCCCTCCCTTTTCTGGTAATTCCCTTCTCCCTTCCTCCACTCAAGTCCTTTTTGGCTTTCTTCAGTTTCCTTATTCCTGTCTTTGAGAGTGTCAGCTTGCAGGGATTACCTGCTGAAGGTCACACAGGCTCTTTGTCTTCCCTGATGATTCATCTGTAGGACAGCTCTCTTTATATGGTTTCCTACCTTTCACAGAACAAGCAAGGCTAAAAACACCATGAAAAGAAGAAGGCACAAGTCAGAGAGCATGCTTTTGCCTTCCCACATGCAGATGTTAAACAGTAAAAAGCTGAAGATCCAAAAGGAGGTATTTCTACCATGAGAGGGCAGACAAAAAGCATCACATGGAATATACTTTTACAGTAAAAGAAATACAATCTTTCCTCTTTTTCTTTAGAGTACAACCCCACTCTGAATGAAAAATAGCACTTTAAGAGGAGAACTAAGCTCATGTAAGGAGTATTTAACAAGGGCATTTATTAATTATAATATGAATTCTTGAGATTTCAGTTGCACAGCCGGGAGGTGGTTGAACTTTAATCTTTAGAAATTATTTTTACCAAACTCATCATTTTAATAGCTTTGACTGCCTTCTAGTAAAACATTAAATGAGGTGGCAAACATCTGTCACAGAAGATTTTTTTTTCCTTTCCCATTCCTCCCCAAAAGACGACTGGTTTATGTGGCCTAGTCTGTTTCTATAGGAAAAAGCAAGCCACAGAACTGTATCTCCTATGTGGAACAACAGATAGGATTCAACATAGTCATTAGCTCCCATGGGAGTTTATCCCACAGTCTCAGACCAGCCCCTCATAGAGCTTCCTCCTGTGCGGAGATAATTCAGCCACAATGTAAAAAAATTCCAGGTAACCAGAGGGGCAGAAGTGCTCACAGGCTTCATTCAGAAGTACGTGGATAGAATATAGGTATGCTGAGCCCAGGGGACCAGATAGTCTGAAAATAATGACCTTGGGCTGGCTTTGGTGTTATGTGGAAAGGCAGGTTAGAGTCACTCAGTGACATGGGAATACGTACCGCTACATTCTGTACTAGTTGGTGTCTCCCAGGCACTGGACATTAATAACCAGATCCATCCATCAGAATGGATGGTGGCAGGGACATTAATCTGTGAGGTCAGAACAGGACAATCTTCTAGCCATCTGGAAATGCCGAAAAATATCGTCCACAGGTGCTCTTACAGGATAGTCTTTATTCTTCAAGGAATCAAAAAACCACTTCTAAATCACCTGCAAAAATACCAATTATAGGTAAAAGCACTGTGGCTGTGAGCTCTTCAAAATAAGACTTTTTTCTTCTGCTCATCAGCATAAATTCCATCCTGCTTGGTTTCAGCTTCATTCAACTGTTTTTTATCCATAAGCTGGTTTTACCTGATTATTTTGTGATCTCAGTGGTGGAGGTCTTTGTAGCAAAAGATTGCCATCTTCTACATACTATTGCTCCCAGTAGCTGAAACAGCCTCTTGTCAATTCTCTTGATTTGTGATGCAAAGCTTTGAAAAGTATGATTCACCCCAGCTATGTGAGATTTTGCTTATCCTCATCTCCTTATGTTAAGAGATTAAAGTAACAGATTCTGGAATACCTCACGTCTTTATTAAAACACATGGTCCTTTGTGAAAGATGTGGGTTTAATGGTACTTGAATAACGTAAACAGTGTTGTGGCTGTTCTAGTATCTGGTGTGCTTTGAGTAGGTAGTACGGGGCCAAGCTGTTGTCTTGTTTAACTTAGTTTAGAACATGTTTCAGCACATTTGGTTCCATCCAAACCGTATTACAACGCAGGCTGGATAGAAATTGTCTTGCACGAATGCCTGTGGTTTCCCTCTGTGGTTCCATCTGCTCCCTTCCTTGACCTGTAGCATGAGCTAACCTAGCAGCGTTTACTTGCCCCGACTCTTATTTAACCACAGACCCTAAGTGCACTATGGTTCAGCAAAAATTCCAGAAGGCAGCCTGACCAGTCCCTGTTTCTCTGCATCATGTGGGGAATCCAGCCTAACAGGTGATGTGAATTTTCAGCATTCTACTGAACATACGTGCCAAAGCAGGTACCTAAGGCTGTCTCATGTGCTGCTGCAGGTAGTCTCTGGGTGGCTGTTCATGTTGTCTGGAAGCCCCAAAGTAAAGCAGTTGTTCTTTTCATGCCGAATTATATGCTAGTTTACTGGATTGCATGTATAAAGGTCATCCAAGTTTTAAAATATTGATATAACATATTGATAACGATAATATTTTCCCTCAACACAGCTGAAGGTCTGAACTCTTAAAAACTGTGTGTTTATCATCTCCAATTCATGAGGAGTTAATGCGAACTAAGAAATATTAATGATAATGCTGAGAATTCCAGTGAAATCTTATGAAATAGAGTCTCTTTTCCAAGGGATAAGAAATGTGATAAAAAAACAGTGTAACACTAACCAAGAATTACATGTCTCAGAGGCAAAAGGAAGGACTAATCAGAAAACTCAATTGAAAAATATTTCAGTTTTTTTTTCTAAGACATGTTGCATTTTTGTTTTCATTTTGGGGAAAGAACTCTGCTGTCACTCTGTGTTATAACTTGAGTTTTCCTTGTCTGTAGTGCCAGGACCAAATTCCTCCAGTGACAATGGCATCAGCTTTGCCATGGTAATGATGGCCTGGGTGGTGATTGCACTTGTCTTGTTCTTACTGAGACCTAGTAATCTGAGAGGATCCAACACAGCTGGAAAGCCAACCAGCCCACATAATGTAAGTGTGTCTCAAAGTGCCCTGCAGAGAGACTCTACAATAGCTTAAATGTGTTTAGTTTTAATACAGACTAGCTTACAGTCATTTTTTCCTTACTTTTTCCCCCCTGTATTTTCTTGGAATTCCATTCACGATGAAAATGAGTAAAACCGAAGTGAAAGTAGAATCATGAAGGCCAACTGTGAGGCCTACCGTGGGATGGAGCAGGCACGGGTGGCTGAGTGTGGGTCATAGTGTCCTCTGGACACCAGCTGTCCCTGGTTGGAACTGCTTCCTGCCTTCTTATGTACAAAGGGAAAATCACAGCTTTTACAGAAGTCAGTAAACAAAATTACAGCATGAAACTAGGGAGATGATCTTTGTCCTGGATGTGGGATCATGGAAAAATCCCTATTGATGCAGGAAACGGTATTGTTCTTTGATGCTCATTTATTCGGAGTATTGAGATACTGAAAGATCTTAAAAGAAAGCACAACGTCACTCCTCTGAGTTCTTCTTTTATTGCGAAGCCCTCTTATTTGAAGCACTGTTTCTAATCCTGTATGTGGTGAGTTTTTTTCTTTTCTTCCTTCCTTCCCCCTAGGGACAAGAACCACCAGCCCCACCAGTGGACTAGAGCATTCACTATTGGAAAAGTTCAGCAGCTAAAGCCTTGCACGACCAAATGAACGAAGTGACCAGATTACTCCTAAACCCCATTCAATACTGTTTTCTTTTCTCATTTATATAGAGCAGAATTTTCATTCAGCAGTTATCCTCATGAACTGCTTTTAGTGACTTCAATTTTAAATTAATTTTTGCTTTGTATGTTATTACAATTCCTAGTAGATTGTAATTTGAATAATGATAAGGCGTTGCAGGGTTTTTTTGGTTGTTACCGTTACTGTGGACATTCCACTCAGTCTCTTTCTGTTACAATGATCTTAATTTCTTTGCAGTGATTTCTCTATGCATTGAAAAAAAAAAAAGAAAATCCCAGTGCATTTATAAAAATGGAAGGTTACTGACCTTTCTTCAGATTAATTCATAATTTTTTCTCCAGTATGCTTTTGAGATTTATATTATGGTTGCAACTATTAGCTTAGTTATGTGGTGAAAAATTTGAATTATTTTATATTTGCCCTGGGTTCAGAGCAGCTTTTAGTCTGGTCTTTGAACCACTAACATAGGTTTCAGGGTTGTTGGCAAAAGCACGGATTGTCCACTAAAATTGTACTATGTGTGTGTGTGCGCGCACGCGCGCCAGGAAGTGAATGTGATAATTGCCACTGTCAAAGCTTTGACATATGTAGGGAACTTTACACAAAAGACTGTACCACCAAAAAAGAAATTAATTTAATCTTGTTCATTAATAAAGGATATATCTTATTCAATATGTTGTAAAAAAAAAAAGTATTCCAAAAATGTATTTGTTTACTTACAGAGTTTATGAAAAGAGAGATTTAGTGAGAAGAACTTGGTAGAGTTTTCTGTCCTGATATAGTCTTTTAATAACGTCTATCTTAAGTTTTTAGCCATGATGTAATTTATATTGGACAGGATGAAATCATACCAAGAGTCTACTGAGGTTACCAACTTTTGGTATACAACATATACTGGATATTCAGGTTTTTTCACCTGTATGTTATCAGCAATTCTTAACATTTCATCCTTATCTACTGTTTGTAATTGTCGAATAACAAACTTGCAGGTGACTACATATGGCATGTCTTTTCCCTCTAATAACTGTGTGTATGTGTGGTGTTTATGTGTGTGTATGTGTGGCTGTGCACGTACCTGTGCACATCTCCCATTGTAGCAAATGGGAATGACTTTTTTATGTACATTAACTTAAGAACATTTTAAAGATGTACAGAAAAGCGACACTGTATATTTTTCTTGATCAATTTGAAAAATTGATGAGGATAATGTAAAGAACATTTTTATGTTACCAACATGAAGCTTCTTTCCGTAAAGGTCAGTAGAACAGACAAATGGGAATTCAAAGCCTTACACTACAAACCTTTATTTCATGAGGACTTTAGTTACGGAGCAGAAGGGACTAACTGTTAAGATACATTAAGGTTTGTATTAACGGGCTCTAACAAAAATCTCACATCAGATCCCATGGTTGACAAGACACGGTTTTTCCTCAGGCTCAATGGCGGGCCAGCTAAGCCTCCTTGTAAAGGTACAGTGTAGACCTGAAGAAGGGCTTCTGTAATTTGATGTAACTGCCCTTTGAATTTCTGTGGAATAGTGTGCTCCCAAGCACAGGAGCATGTGTAAAAAATAAAATAATTTTTAAAAAATGAAGAAGATTGGGCCAGGTGCTCTCAGTGGCATCAGTGCGGTGCCATGTAAAGCAGTGGAGCTGCAGCAGAGAAGCTGAGAGAATTTGTCCTATGATGTTTAATGGTGTACAGGCCACAAACACTGTGTAAAGATGTCACTGGGACAAGCAATCTGACTTGTGCTTGCTTTCTGCCTTCTGTGTACATTTATGTTTGGGATATTGTTCTGAACAGAACAAGTAATACAGCATAATTTTGCTAAACCAACAAGAAAATATATATAATCTCCTACAATCACCTTTTCTCCAAGAATTTTTGGCCAGAATTCTGCACGATTGGATGCATAAAACAGGCTTCCAGCTGATTAAAAAGCCAACTGAAACAGGCTTCATTTCAGACAGATCGCTGCTCCTCATCCTACTGGAAGCTGGTGAGATATACAGCAGATGCTCCTCACTTGTGAGGATCGGTCTCGCTTTACTTAAATCTCTGTGTATATATTTATAAAACTCACCATGTGCACCCAGCTCTAACATTCTTGGCAAATGAACTTTTTGTTCAGAGTAATGTTGTGTTTTACATTTAAATGAACTGTCTTTGCTTGAAATTCCTCTAAGTAATTGTCCCGGTGATTTTATACATGTATGCTTTCCTCATGTAAATTGCTATTTTAAATTTTCTATGTAAAAGAAAAAACATTGGAAATATTTTATTGTAAAATGTTTTACTGAAGAGCCAGGCCCCCCACTATCCCATGTCAAAATACACGCCTTTTAAATTCAGATAACCTTTCCAAGATACAGCCTTTAGATCACCACTCCTAATTAAAATAAAAGTAACTAATTGTAGGACTGTATTTTGCCACTCTTATTCATGTTAAATAGTGCCTTACTCATCAAGTAGTTGCACTGAAGTTTGTGGGACTACTCTGAGATAATGTACTAGTAGCAGCTTTAGTAAGGGTGGCAGAAATCTGGCCTTTAGTGGTGTAGTTTGCGATGAAATAATTGTATCATGGTTACAGATGTTTATGGTAAATTTTGAGAAGTGTGGAAGAGATTAGTGGTATGTGAAGCTTCAGGATATGATTAATTCTGCAATGAGGGTTTTAAGCTTGGTTAGTAAGAGATGCAAGTTGTAGCAACTTGGAAAATATAGAGGGAAGTTTACAATTATACCTTAGCTTAGAACTTTGTTAAAACAATAGTATTTTTAGAGTCTGCTTAACACAATTATACTCTGAAATCAGAAATCATATGTATTCATGTATTGTCTGCAGATCACTTAGCCTTGTAATGTTCATGATTGAAAAAGGAAGAGTGATGATGTGATGTATGTAATGTAAATCGGTGGTTTAAACTGTCTGAATTATGCCAAACAAAAAATCATCTGTGCCATTTGCGGTTTCCTAGTAATCTTTTACTGAGTACTTGGATTGGGATAAAGGGCTTGTACTATGCACTTTTTATTGACTTAACAAAATAAATAGCAATCATTAGTAACTTTTTGTCTTTGTCTCTTAGTCTTTATATAAGATGTAGGACTGCACCAATCAGTTCCTAATTTGAAATCATCTAAAAATAAGCATCAGTAAAAATAGCATGTCATCCGTGGAAATTTTAAAACATAAATTCTAACTTTTCTAATGGACGCTTGCCTTCTGTCTGTATCTGAAGCAAGTCAGAATGAATTACAGGCAGTTTGCAAGGTTTAAGACACTTTGATGACTAACACGGGTGTCTCTGCCTTTGCTCTTTAAAGTAGTTATGCCACCTAGCAAGTTAGAAATACTGCAATATGAAAAGTAATGACAGAGGCCAAATATGCCAGTTACGTTACTTCATTTTAGATAAATCCTACTACTTTGGGATTTGCAGTCTATTTTCTAGTCCCAGTTCTTGGCAGTGTTGGATCCAGAGCTCCTCTGAGACAGCAAGATGCTCTAGTGGATCCGAGGCAGCATGTAGAAGTAGTAGAGAACTGCTGCTTCCTCACTGTTCCCATGGAGTGCAGTACTCTTCTTCCTCCAACAGCAGAGCATGAAATGCTGAGCACTGCCTTGGCAGCAGCTCAGATCCCACATTAGGGATTCCTGTGTTAATCCAAGGAAAAAAAGGAAAACGCCAGGGGAGCATTAGGGTTTAAAATAATACACAGCTATCCAGAGATAGTGGTAATAAATACCAGAGAATCAGAAACAGAATCTGCATTTATTTTTAGTAATAATAATAAAATAATTTAATAACAAATGCTTTAGGCATTTGAGTCACTTTAGAAACTGTATGATCTTAATTGGAGATCATTAATGTCTGCTCATCAAGATTTACCCTTCTACTCAAACATGAGATTATAAATAACCCCTAAAAATAAAGCTAAACTTTACTTACAGGTACACTTGTTAACATGTTTGCCAAGGGTGCACATGCCTATTACGAAAAGTGGTGCAGAAAGGAAATTACCACATATTTAAATTAACTATGTTGAATGGGTTTGCATGAGGCCTGGCTGCTCAAGACCACCAGGTAAGTGGAGATTACTCTGCCCCAAAGCCTGAAAAAAAAAAAAGTATCCCATCTAGGATGTTTGGGAGAAATACATCAAATCACTGCAGTGAAGTATCCTGTGAACATGAAGTGGGCCCCTTGTGAAAATGGGCAACTTAACATTCTTTTCTCCTTCTACCCTGACTTGTTCAGTACCAGCCTGGTACTGGTGGTTGTGCAACTCACCTTGGGGTGGAGGAAGCAGCTGACTGTCCCACAGTCAACTCCTTCCTCACGTGTAAAACAGCACAGCTCTGTTGCCTTCCAGGGAGTTACACTCAGAAACCTCAGCTGACGATTTGTCTCTCTTTTGTACAAGAATAACTGAACCCATGTTACTTGATCTTGTATCAAAATTATTGCCAACTCCCATAGCAGGCAATTTGTGATTAAATATAATAACCAGAAGAATCTGGCTTCTGCATTACCTTTTTAACATCCGCAGATAGGAGTGTTGGCCAAAGAGGATGTCTGAAAGAAATGTATTTCAATACATGACAATAAATACTAATTCACCATATATATCCAGCTTTTTAAAGGTTTCACTCGTCTTGCTTGCATGGAAAGAGAGACTATAAAATATTTAATACAGTGTTAATTGAAAATACAGCAGTAATTTCTAATCAAAGATCACAAAAAGCAAGCTTTAAAAAAAAGTATTGCATTTATGCGTTTTGTTATTACGTCCTCCAAGCTATAAATGATGAAACAGGAATAATTTCTGTGACTATGTAGTTTTCAGACTTACACTTGTTTTAAAATTCTTGAAGGATATTATCTTCTGATGTAAAAAATACTCT